AAATAAAGGAGATTCTGATGATCTGTGAAGATTGTGAAAGGGTATTTTGATCCTACGAGGTGATGTTGCCATTCATCTAGCGCAGTCATGACTGCAAGCATTTCTTTGTTGTAGATTTCATAATTTTGTCCGGCTGGGGTGAGAGCTTTCGAAAGGAATGCGATTGGTCTGAACTTGTCATTCTGTTTTTGGGACAGGACGGCTCCTACAGCAAAGTCAGAGGCGTCTGTTTCTAATTTAAATGGATCATTGTCATCGGGTATAGCAAGGGTGGGGGCAGTGGTGAGCATTCTTTTTAATGTTTCAAAAAATGTCTCTTGTTTGTTTTTCCAGGTCCAATCAACCTTTCCAGTGAGCGTAGTGAGTGGCTTCGCAATTTTTCCATAGTCTTTGATGAATCATCAATAGAAGTTGGAGAATCCTAGGAATGATTGGAGTTCTCTTTTGTTCTTTGGCGTTGGCCAGTCAGCGACTGCTGCGACTTTTACTTTGGGCGGATCCATACGGGTAGTGTCTTTGGAAATGATCAGGCCTAGATACTCTACTTCCTGTTTTTCAAATTCACATTTTTCTGGTTTGAGATATAGTTGATTTTGCTGTAGAATGAGAAGGACTCTGGTGACTATTTGACAATGTTCCTTGAGGGTTTCTGTGAAGATCATGATATTGTCCAGGTATATGATAACCTTTCCTTCTGTGATCAGTTCCCTAAGGAGGTGGTCCATCATTGTTTGGAAGGTTGCCGGTAAATTGGTAAGTCCGAAGAACATGACAAGGGGTTCAAACAGGCCGCAATTGGTCCTGAAGGCGGCTTTGTGTTTGTCTCCTTTTTTGATTCGGACATTGTTGTATCCCCATCATACGTCTAGCTTTGTGAAGTAGTTGGCATTCTTGAGTTTATCAATGAGTTTGGATATGAGAGGGAGGGTGTAGTGATTCTTTATGGTAAGCTCATTCAGCTTGCAATAGTCTTGGACAGGGCGTAGCGAACCATCTTTCTTTTTGATAAAGAAGAATGGGGATGCATAGGGTGATTTGGACACTCGGATTTGTCCACTTTTCAGGTTTTTGTCAAGGAATTCATCTAAATGGTGTTGTTTGTCCCGGCTAAGAGGGTATATTTGTCAATCAAGCTGTGGTCAATAACTGAGTTGGTGCAACCAGAGTCAATAAGGGTAGGTACAGTGAACATTTGTCTGTCGTCTGTGGTAGTAACTTGAGAAATAACATGGAGGCTGCGTTTTGGCATGGGTCTGTGTGGCGAGGTATAAGCATAGATGTGTTCCACAATATTCTCTTCATTGTGATTCTTCAGCATCTGTATCGCTTGCAGGGTGATATGCTTGTAGTGGTCTTTATGTGCCCAGTTTCATAGTAGAGCCCTTGCTCTTTCCGGTTTCTGGTCTTTGATTCGTTTGGCCAACCATTCCGGTGAATGTGGCTTTGTGTAGTTTTCAGTTACAGCATGTGTAACAACCAAGAGTTAGTTACTCTGGCGCACACTGGAACACACTATAGAGAATAGAGAAGAAGGGATCACCCCTCAGGTTTCAGTGAGTTAGTTGTGCTAGACAACAGGAGGACTCGCTGAGTCCTTCCCCATGTATTGCTCTTGTATATATACTAAAATACATGAGGTACTGTACAGTTGTAAATAAAGTTCAAAGTCCAATGTCTAGCATGTGACCGGTCACATGATGAGTCTAGACACTGGTCAGGTAATGTGTCACATGACTGGTCATGTGACTATGAAAAAGTCGAAAATGTAAAGTAAAGTAAATGGTCACATGACTGGTCATGTGACTTGGAAAATAAAAGTAGAAGTACAAAAGTGAAGCGTAAGTAGGTGCTGGTATGTCAATTGTAACAGCATGTAGATGTTGATCAACTCGTTTTATTGCAGTCATTGGTAGTGTACAAGAGTTAGATACAACATTACGGGTCAGAGAGTCTGTGCTTACTCCTGACCATTCTGAAAATCCTTCAGAGGTGCTTCAATTTCTTTTAATGATGACGTAGTGGGAGTGTCTTTGGTTTTCTCCGTTTCCATATAATGTATTGCCATCTTTCCATGTGGGCAATTTCTAGCAATGTGGCCTTGCTCACCACAATTGTAACAAATAATGTTCGGGTTGGGCCGACATTGTCTCTGTGTGTTTGAACTTCCAATCTCCATAGGTATGCCTGATCCTCCAAATGTTCCTGCTGTGTTTGGATGGATTGCATTCTGGGGCGGCGGCCTCTGTGGTGGAGTGGAGTATAATATGATCGTTGTTGGATATACTGTGGTCTTTGCATCTCTGTACACGGTACTATTTGTTGATGCTGTGGCGGTAGGTAGTTCCAATTCTGTTGATAATGCGGTTGATATTGTTGGTATCGAGGTGGCAGCAGTCTCTGTTGTGGGGGTCTATCTCTCCTCCTTTCCAGATTAAGTTCTTCATTTTGCTGCTCCCATTTCCTGGCTGCTACCTTCTGTAACAACCAAGATTTACTCTGGCGCACACAGGAACACACTATAAGGAAGATGATGAGGGAGTGGTTACCCCTTAGAATTCAGAGAGTTAGTTGGTATACAACAGGAGGACTTGCTAAGGAGTCTCCTGAATCTATTGGGGTATATATACTACTACAGGGTTATTTGTACATGTGTACTATACAGTTGATAGCGACAGTGGCTGATGATGTCATGGGGCCTAGCCCGCATGGCCAGCTCCACTGTGAGAGAGAGTTGAGTCTATAATAAGAAGAAAGGCAACGCGGCGCAAGAAGAGGAGTTTAGACAAAAGGGGAAGTGCCGCGTGGCACCATGTGTGAAAGCTAAAGTACAAGGTTTAAAGCGGAGAAATAAAAGTAAAAGGAAGGTCCAAAAATTGTGTTATTGTAACACCTTCCATTCTGAGTACATGGTGGGTAGGTTTTCCTGTTGCGAGATACAATCACGAAGGAATTGAGAGAGGTTGCAGCGAAGGATACTGTGAATGAAAGGATAACTTTTGTGTGTGTCTGGCGGTAATCCCGCCTCCATGAGTTTGGATTCAAGTCCTCCGGAGTATGCATCAACTGTCATCTCTTTCTGCTCATAGCTATGAAGTGCTATTTCCGCTTTCAACTTCAGGTGGGGGTCCAGGAATTTGTTATCCAATTCCTTGATAAACTCCAAGATAGTTCCCCAATTTCGCCGTGCAAATAAGTCTCCTAGCACTGCAGTTTTGTTGTTGAAATTTGCCTTCTAAGTGTGGCAGGCATCATTGGCTTTATCGGACGAGATTTGGGATAATGCAAAGAGGATTTTGGAGGAGTCAGTTTGGAAACTTTTGGGATAAGCGAAAAAGTAGTTTGCTAATGCGTTCTTCCAGTTAACGTACATTTCCTTTTTGCCAATGAATGAATTCAAATGGAGGAGAGGCAAGGACAGCCTTGCTGCTTTGACTGGGTTCATCGGTCATTCTTGCTGCTAGATCGGGTTCAAGGTCCAGAGACTCTTGATCAAACCAATTGTCAGGTTGGTTTTCAGGTTGTGGATTCCAAGGTGGGGGGCTTCAGCAGCAGCTCCTAGAGATTGTGGGGGGGGGGGTGTTTTGGGAGTGACAAGAGGATGAGGTTCTCGATAAGGCTCCAGCTTTAACAAGTTAGATAACAAGTCTTAGATAACAAGTCCTAGATAATGAGTCTTTTAATTAAAGTCCGGGTCAAACACAAAGTTACTAGGAAAATCTCCTCCTTCTGCTTCCTGAGGTCTCCAGTACTCTATGCCTTCAGTAGACTCTTTGCTTTCCGACTCAGTCCCTTTGTCTGATTCTCCTCCAACTATATCTACCAAAGAACTTCCTGTTTCTAATTTGATTCTTTCCGCGCAAGGTGCAAAGTTGCTCAACTGACGGAATGAGCAATGCTTCTCCTCTTCGACCTTGGTAGGTGTACGAGTATTGCGAGTAGATACGAGTTCGTGGGCTATGATTAACAATGGCCCAAAAGTCGCTTTGGATAACAGTTACAATGAAGTGTTCGGGGTAATCTGATTGCTGATTAACAACGAATGGTGTAAAAATTTCTAAGACCCAGTAATACTTCTCGACGTATTCTGAGATGTATACACAATTTCCGGGCCTTTAATTTTCATTCTCCTCTTTAACTTTCTACTGTAGTTTTCACACACTGTGCCATGTGGCACTTTCCATTTTTGTTCAAACTCCACCTTCTCACGCTGCGCTACCTTTCTTCTTATTTTAGCCACAAGTCTCTCACACAGTGGAGCTGGTCACATGGGCTGTGCCCTCTGACACCATCAGCCACTGCTTTCATCAACTGTACAGTACATAAGTACAAACACGCTGTATTAGTATATAAACCTCAATAGATCCATGAGACTCCTCAGCAAGTCCTCCTGTTGTATACCCACAGCTAACTCGGTCCTACCTAGAGGGGAAAATCCCTCCTTTTTATTACTCCTTTGCTTGTCTGAAGTTGTGCACCAGAGTAACTAACTCTTGGTTGTTACATTAGGACTTGCTCTTACTACTCTCTCGCACTTTGTGCAAACCCGGTCCCCAGGGTTAAGGGGTTATTGTTTGGGGATATCCCATATAGCAGAAGGGTGCGCTCCTAGCGGCAGCCCCGTAGTGCTCTGGGAGAAGAGACAATTATCTATACACGGCCCCCAGTGTCAAGGGGAGTACTTAGCTCAGCAGTTGGTGTGGAACCACTGTTGATTAGAATTTACATACAAAACTTCTTCTTCAAATACCTCTGACCAGGCCGGGCACTTGCCTCTGCCAGTCTGGAGAAGGGTTGGCAGCTTAACAAGCGGACCACCCCCTGACAACCGTTTGGACCAGGGTTTCTTATGTTTATCTTTTTATATACATCTTCAAATACTATAGTGTGGGTAGTCGGAGATTGAGATCCGATACTCAGCTGGGAAGAGGTAGATCTGCAGATAGCAAGCGGGGACCCCCAGTTACGTTTTTTTATTTACTTTACAAAGAGAACAAGTTGACATGTCGTTGCAAAACCAACCTGACATCAACACTCTGCTGCACAACATGCGTGCACAGATTTTGACATTGACTATGCAGCTTGCTGAGCTTCAGGCTACCCCAGCAGCTGCACCCTCGGTTGAGAAAAAATTCAACAAAAAAGTCGAAATTGTCGCTGACCCTGGTGCTTCCGAAGGAGACAGAGCGCGATTCGCCGAATGGTGGATCAAACTACAAATCTGGGTCAAGGCAAATTGGGACGTGTTTGCCAACAATTTTGAGGTAGCAACTGCTGTACTATCTTGACTAAAAGGACCTGTGGCGGGTCAATACGCCCAAGTTAGACTACAGGAGTGCTACACATCGGGAGTGTGGCCCACCTGGGACGATCTCAAGATAGAGATCAAAAAATATTTCAAATCCCAAGCTGAGCGTGACTGGGCGCGCCAGCAAATCTGTACCTTCAAGCAAGGAAACATGAGGACAGATGACTTTGTTACCCGGTTCCTGGCCCTCTCTATCCAAGGGGGTCTAGGTAATGAACATGCAGTAGAGCTGCTAGAACGCAATGTGAACCCCCACATTGCAGAACAGCTCTATATACAGGATATGAGGAGCAAGAACCTCTCTCAAGCAGCAGAGGGAGTTTGAAAAATAGGTAGGGCCATAGAGCTCTACAAAATGCAATTTGGTGGCGGGCCCACCACCAAAAATAACTTCCCCCAGAGGTGCCCTGGGTTATCAAACCAAAACCATAATCACTCTCACGGGTTCAAGCCATTCAGGCTGCAGCCAGGGCAGGGTGCCCCTATGGATATCGGTGTGGTCCAAGGCGGACAGATGCGCAGATAGAAGGGCAACTGCTACACCTGTGGCCAAGAGGGACACATGTCCCAAGACTGTCCAAATAGGGCGCAGGCCGCCCAACAAAAAAATCACCAAGGGCGCCAGGCGCATTAATTAAAAGCTGAAAAGCCGGACAATTGGCTCAACACTCTGGCCGGATGTTCGTACGACGAGATCCGGGCCTTCTTTTACGACCAACAGGTTGCTGAAATAAAGGCTCAGGGAAAAGAGTTCAGAGCTTAGGTCACTTGGGTACCTTCGCTCCTCTTAACAATGAAGTAAACCACAACAAGGTGGCCCCTGCTCCGGGGTGTTGCATGAGCAACAAAGGAAAGACAGGGTGGCTCCCCAGTTTGTAAATAGATTTTTAAATTTGTTATCTGAAGTATGTACTTGTATGAAGCATTGCAGATGTAATATTTATGATACTACCGCTGCACCAGCGTCTCCCTTGGAGTGTGGCCCTGGCAAGACAAACACTAGGGTGCTTGATTCTGGTGAAAATAAAAATAAAAATATAGAAAATCTTAAAGTAGAAAAATATGTATCTTTTGATATTTCTTCTTCTTCTTCTCCAGAGCCACTTTCCACAGAAATCCCAAGGTGCGTGTTGATGCGCACATATGTATTCCAAAAGGAGATGTTGGTGTGGAAAACCTTGCCCGGGGCATAGTACACCCAACCCGCGCACTGCTTGATTCAGGCGCTAATGGAATCTTCATAGACCAGGTCTGGGCAGAGCAAGTCGGACTCCCCCTTGTAAAATTAGATGTATCTATTCCGGTCTATAATGTTGATGGTACGCTTAATGTGGGTGGCTGCATTACGCACAAATGTTCTTTTGTTGTCAAGTACCAAGGACACAGAGAACGAGTCACAGCCAAAGCTACCCAACTAGGGAAGATTAATTTAATCTTAGGCTAGACCTGGCTATTTAAACACAATCCTGAGATTGACTGGCAGACAGGGGTGGTGTTACGATAACACAATTTTTGGACCTTTAAATTTCATTCTCCTCTTTAACTTTCTTCTATAGTTTTCACACACTGTGCCATGTGGCACTTTCCTTTGTTCAAACTCCCCTTTTCTCGTGCTGCGCTGCTTTTCCTTATTTATAGCTACAAATCTCTCACACAGTGGGGCTGGTCACACGGGCTGTGCCCCATGACATCATCAGCAACTGCTTCCATCAACTGTATAGTACACATGTACAAATAGCCTGTAGTAATATATATACCCAATAGATCCAGGAGACTCCTCAGTGAGTCCTCCTGTTGTTTACCCACAACAAACCCGGTCCTATCTAAAGGGTAACCACTCCCCTCACTTCTTTATAGCTTTGTCTGAGTTGTGCGCCAGAGTATGCAAACTCTTGGTTGTTACAGGTGGTCACACTGTCACATTGTCCTCAGGAGTGTAATGACTTAGGTAAACCAAGTCGTGTCCGTTGAACCGAGCGACTTGAGAAGATAAATGCTGGTCACGTTTATGCTCAGCTCAGATCCTTAGAAAAGATTGACGATGATGATGACAAAGTAAAACCTGAGGAAGAGATTAAGAGGCTGGTACCTCCCGAGTACTATGACTTCTGGAAAGTCTTTTCTAAACATAAATTGAAGCGCTTCCCAGAGGCTAAGCCTTGGGACCATGCTATAGATTTGAAGGACACCTTCAAACCGAGAAAAGGACACATGATACCACTCTCTGCTCCAGAAAGAGATGAGTTATCAAGTTTCATAGATGAACAGCTTAGAAAGGGTTACATCAGACCTTCTAAAAGCCCTATGACATCCCTGGTGTTCTTCATTCCTAAAAAGGATGGTAAAAAGTGTAAGATTATGGGCTATCATTACTTGAATGAGTAGACGGTTAAAAATGCATATCTGCTGCCTTTGATCAGTCAGCTAGTAGACAAGTTGGCTGGTGCCAAAATCTTGACAAAGATGGATCTCAGATGGGGGTACAATAATGTGCAAATCAAAGAAAAAGATGCTTGGAAGGCTGTGTTCACGTGCCACCGAGGATCCTTTGAACCCCTTGTTATGTTCTTTGGGTTGACCAATTCACCGGCAACCTTCCAGAGCATGATGAATGAGATCTTTGCGGATATGGGAAACTGTGTTGTCATTTACATTGACAATTTGTTGATATTTACGAAGTGGGACAATGAGGCTGAGCATGACAGGATCGTGCAAGAAGTCCTTCGCCGCTTACAGGAACGGGACCTATTCGTCAAACCCAAAAAATGTAATTTTATAGTGAAGGAAGTAGACTTCCTCAGTATGATCATAGGCCAGAACGGAATCAGGATGGATTCTGAGAAAGTTCAAGCCATATTGGACTGGCCAGAACCTACTCGCGTAAAAGGAGTTAGGGCCTTCCTTGGCTTAGGCAATTTCTACCGAAGATTTGTCAAAAACTTCACAAAGATAACAAGATTGTTGAATAATCTCACTAAAAAGGACATTGTTTGGCACTGGGGCGCCAAAGAACAAGAAGCTTTTGATAAGCTTAAACAGGTGTTTACAACAGCGCCCATATTAGCATTTCCAGAATTAGACAAAGAGTTCTGGCTAGAAACTGACTCTTCTGATTTTGTTACTGGGGCTGTTTTATTTTATCAATTAAATGCCCTGACAATCTTTGGAGGCCTTGTGCCTATTTATCGCATAGTTTGTTGCCTACAAAGCGCAACTATCAAATTTATGATAAGGAGATGCTGGCTATCATTAGAGCTTTAGAGCACTGGTGGCACTACTTAGAAGGTGTTAGGCACCAATTTGAAATTTGGACTGATCATAGAAATCTGGAGTATTTTATGACGGCTTGAGACTTGAACTGGAGACAGGCCTGCTATGCGGTGTACTTGTCTAGGTTTAATTACAAATTAATTTATAAGCCAGGAAGTTCTATGGGGAAAGTGGATGCTTTGTCCAGAAGAGAGGATCATGCCAACGGCATAGAAGATGACAACAAAGGTATCACCCTGATAGACCAATCAAGGGTTGCCAATATTAGAATTGGACAAGATTCCGATCTTCTGGAAGTCTTCAAGAAAGACATCTCCTCAGAAGAGAAGGCACACCTTGATGGCAACGAAAATTATTTATGGGAAGACGGGCTCTTCCATTTTAAAGACAAAATCTATGTGCCTAAGTCCGCAAGGATCAAAGCAATAGACAGACATCATGACACTCCAGTGGCTAGGCACCCTGGGTGGCAACGAACAATGGAGTTGATCTCCAGAAACTACATGTGGCCTGGCATGGTCAAAGACGTACAGGAATACGTAAAATCCTGTCTGAGATGTGCCATGGCAAAGAACTCACATCAACTGCCGGCCAGTAAACTTATGCCAAATCCGATACCAACTGGTCCTTGGCAGGATATATTGGTTGATTTCACAACAGATCTACCCGAACCGAATGGGTATGATTCAGTAATGGTGGTAGTAGATTGCTTCTCTAAAGAAGTGGTGTTCATTTCCACCAACAAAACTATTACTGCCGCTGGTACCGCAGATCTATTTAAAGACTTTGTATGGTCTACCCGTTACGCTTGGAATGTACAAGCCTGGTTATAAGAGGGGGTTCTGGCAATGAAGTGGTTTCTGATAAGCCCATAGGTAATGGGTTTGAGACGTATTCTGATGATGAGGATTTTACTGATGAATACCAAGTTGCACTGTTGAAGCGTACAATCATATTGGAGATGTTTACTACAATACAAGTGTCTATATATACTGTCCTACTTTAGGGTAGGTGTATGTGTTGAACAAACAATGACAGGTGAGAAACCGTAACAGGTAACTAGTGTGGGAATAAGAATGAGTAGCGGTACGTGGCTACTCAGAGAAGAAAATAAAGTCCATAAGAAACATAGTTTGTAACACTACCCATGGATTACCAGAAACAGTTATCTCCGATAGGGGACCGCAATTTGCTAGCAAATTTACAAAAGATTTATGCCGGATGCTGGGCATCAAACCTAAATTATCAATGGTGTTCCATCAGCAAACTGATGGACAAACGGAGAGGCTCAATCAGGAATTGAAGCAATATCTCCGAATATTTATTAATGACAGACAGACGGATTGGGCCAAGTGGCTAAAGATAGCCCAGTTCTCATACAATATCAAACAGTCGTCAGCTACAAGAATCAACCCATCCATCCCCTCAAAACACTTTAAAAAGATAGCCAGCACACTACCCCAAAAAAATGCATCCATACTATTCCAGCTTTGATCCAACCACACTATGCTCAACAAACACCTGCATCAAATCAAGGGTAAAGCTGATGAACTGTTGTTGCCACTATGTGCCAGCTGCAATGCATGCAAAGAAACAATACACCACCTCCTACTTGCCTGCCCCACCTACATTAGTCAACACAATACCCTCCTCTAAGCTATCCCCCGGAAAAAACACGATATCCTTGTGCTTCTGAACAACCCAAAGTGCCTGAAGGCTCTGTTTAAATATATTACAAGCACAAAACAGTTCAAACAAACATACAGAGACACTACATTGCCAATGACAAGATAACCACAATGCTCACAATAGACCGGCCTCCCTCATAACCCACGCACACCATACCTTACCTCTCACCCCCCCTCCCCTCCTCCAAGGACAATACAACAACCCACCCAGCTGTAAGGGATCAATTTTCTTATTGCATTCCCATCATGTTGTGGCCATCCAACCCATTCCCTGTTACTCCTCTCGCCATTGGATTAGAAATTACAGCTGGTAATCTATTACTGTTATCCTTCTTCTTCTTGTTTTCCCTTCACACTCACATCGAGACTCCTCTCCAATCCTTGAGAAGATGTCCCAATGACATAGCATTGATCAAAGGCTGTGTCTGGGGATAATTGGATGTCATATCCATACTGGAAGACAGAACTCTGGCATTTCCGAAGGAGTTATTCTCCAGGCCCCAAACCCCCAAACTATTGGTATACTCGGGATTACATTTCTCGTGGTCTGCCGGTTGGCATAACTCTA